CATTTTTATTTATTTGAAATAAACTCTGAGGAAATTAAAGCTCAGAAATGAAGGGCCCTACCCATGATATAATGTATAGCATTGGGTATGGAAAGAGCTCCACCTAGTGAAAAAAGAGTATAGTGCATAGAGGGTACAGTATTGAAAACTGTACCTTTAGACAGCATATGAAAGAGACCTTTGGGGACTGAAAACTTGCATGTTTTTGCTCTGACCTATGCCTAATTCAGTCATTGTTTTATTTTATCAAAGCCTCAGGAGTCCATTTTTTAAATTAAAAATTACGCAACTTCCTTCATTTTGATAATATTTATCGCTTTTGGTAGCTATTATTGAGAATTCAATCACAGGCTGTATAAAAATACCATTTAATAAAGGGGAGAGAAATGAATTTTTAATGTTCCTACCATGTGCTTTGTAAACAGGATATGTATCCTGGTGATCATATAGATCCAGACACTACAAGACGTGAAATGTGAAAGATGTGAAAAGACTAGTTGTGAAAGACTAGTTGATGTGAAAGATGTGAAAGACTAGTGAAAGACTAGTTGTGAAAAGATGTGAATGACTAGTTGATGTGAAAGACTAGTTGACAGGCTAGTCGACTAGTCACTTCCCCGCCCCTTGCTGCCTCTATCAGATAGAGGCAGCAAGTGGGGGAGACGAAGGAGGGTAACTTCAAAGTGGCACCGCCGCATGGAGCCCAGGGTCAGCTGCTCTGTGTGGCGCTGCCACTTTGAATGCCGCGGGGAATCTGGCGTCAGGCTCCATGCGGCATTTCAAAGCGACAGCGTCGCGTGGAGCCTGGAATCAGTTGGGGACCCCAGGCTTTGGTTCTTTCACCTTTGAAGTGTAGACTTTGAAGTGTACACTTCAAAGGCGGAGGTGCCCTATAGACTAATAGAATAGTCCATCCAAAAATGCATCATCTATTTGATTAGTCAATTATCTGATACTTAACATCTTTATAAGATGCTGAGTTTCTTGACATGAGTGGTTGGTGAAGGATTGCTTATAACAGTCAAAGCAAAAAGAAACTGTTTCAATAATAACTGAAGAAAGAATAAAGTAACTGTGAGTTATAAGGCTATTCTACCAGTGAGTTTATTTGTCAGAGTTTGATACAACTCCTAATTTTTTTAATTACCCAGTTTTATTTTCTATGCTATGCTTAACAATTGTAACCTACATAAGTAATCCTACTCTGCTTTTCCTAACCTTCTCCTCTTCCATGCTTCCTCTATTTTTTAGGACTAGCATAAGTTAGGCCTGTTACTATTTAGATGGGAGTTCTCCAAGTGGCAGGCAAACACAGGATACAGTTTTTTATTATGATTTCATTTGTCTCTATATTATTTAGGCATGTGTTTTATATCAGTAGTAAATAAATACTACATTAAGAGGCACTGTACTGCTGGTACTACAATAGCTCAGATGAGATACAAGGTCTGATCTACACTTAAATCTTAGGTTAACCTAGCTATGTTACCCAGGGGTGTGAAAAACTCACTGCTTCTTGGGATGTAGTTAACTCAAGCTAAGGCTCAGAGCAGACACTGCTAGGTTAAGTGTAAAATTCATCCATCAATGTCGCCTATTAAGAGGGTTGATTTACTCCAGCAATAGAAAAACATCTTTCATTGTTTTAGCATTTGTAGTATAGACATACTCTCAAACTGAGGACCTGGCTGGCTGCGTGGGCATTAAAGATTGTGTTGTGATTTCTGTAAGAATTCTTTTGGTGTTAAATGTGGTGTCCCAAACTAGGATAATTTTATGCATGTCAAAAACCCACCTCTCTTTAAATACAATATTGCTCACTTGCAGTGAGCTACACCATTAAACTGCTGCTGCATTTCACAATGATGTAGCTTGTTTCAGAGGCATATAAAGTTATTCCTGTCTATGGTTTATACATTGCTATCTATTTCTCAATCACATGAAACAATACGAAATCTGCTTGGGAGAACAGTGCTATTTCAACATAAGCTGTCCTCCTGCTGTAAAAGTTTCAGTGGCCAGAAATGTAAATGGCTTCAGTGAGTAGACAAAAGTCAGACAGTTTTTGGAAGATAGTCTTCCATAGCCTATTTTATCAGGACCCACTAAAGTAATGCTGAACATAATTTAGGATCCATATAGCTTGAATCCTTTTTTCAGTTGTTCATATCTATTTGGTTTATCTGAAGTTATAAAGTCCAGTCCTAAAAATGCTTAGCACCAAGTGCAGCTACTGCAGAAAATAGGCTAACTCATGGCCTTTGATAGTAAGGTCTTGCAGATAAGGCTCTTAGCAACGACCGTCATGGTCTTTAATAACATGTTCAGGCTTCTGCAGCACATGGAAACCCCTGGTTTATAGAATTAATGGTAGGATCTATATAAAGCACCAACAGCTGAATTTTTATGGATATATTTTCTGTTTTTGAGACAAGCAGTTACAGGGTTATTTTTTCTGGCCGGGTGAGATTTTAATATAGTCTGAATGTAATAAACTTGACATCTCCACAGTTTTCATCTGCATTTCATCATGTTCCAGATATTTATGCCTTTCTCTATCATAACAGTTTTATATCTCCCCAATTAGAGATCATATTGTTGCTTTGTGCAGAGGGTTAACTGTAGTCCAAAATTAAAGAAAATTAATAAAAGCTGTGGGACCATTAAAGCCATACATTTCTGTGCACAGCTTGTCTGTAATGTCATTGGTGCTTTAACTTCAAGTGTTCCAGTGTCTTTAGATTCAGCTTTGACCTTGGATTTTTTTTTTCAGTTTGTATCAGTCTTCTGTGACAATTACAAAAGGGTTTTTTAAATTAAAAATTAATTAATTAAAAATCTGGCTTTTAATTAAAATGCATTGTTCCCAGACCTAACAAAACAAGTTAAATTTACCAGGTAACAATTAAGCAGCTAAAGAAGCATGAGTAATGTATAAACTTTCTTCTACCTAAACGAAATAACTGAATACATTTAAATTAAATTGGGATATACCACTTATAGCTGAGAAACCACAGGCACTCTAAAATATAATCTGAAACAGGGCTACTCAACACACGGCCCTTTGTTTGCAGCCTGGGGTGCAGTTTGGGTTTACATGGAGCCAGGGGTGGTCCTAAACTAGCTGCCAGCAATTGGCGCCCTAGGCGAACCATGCAATCAGCGCCCCCACCTCCAAACCCAAACCCCTCAATGATATTGTGCCATCATTTGGAGACCCATTTAACTTGGCACCCCAGGCAACTTCCTAGTTCACCTATATGGATAGGCCACCCCTTCACGGGGCTCAATACGCAACGCAACTCACAGGTGGGATCCCTTGAATATGGCCTCCACTAGGAACACGCTCCACAATGGCAAGGCAGCTCCCAGGCAGGGTGAGCATTGAAAGATGGCAGCAGACGGGCTGGCTGGAACAGAAGGATACAGGGTGTTGGCATTTCTAGCTCCCAGGGAGGAGGTTCCAGGAGTACTGGGGCATTGTGGGAAGGGCTTTGTATTCATGCCTATCAGTATGTAAGAAGCTCTTTGCATATACAGCTGGTCCCCGAGTTGCGAACATTCAAGTTACAACACAACCATTTGCATTTACAACCAAAGCTCCCATGGAGCAGTTGTAAAGGCAGTTCCTGAGTTATGAACGCAACCTGCGCTTACAAACAGCACAGTCACTATGTAACTCAATGGGGATCTGAGTTATGAACAGATCGAGTTACGGCCAAATGTTTGGTCTGTAACTCGTTGAGAGGCTGTATAATAATATCTGGAGATATACCTATCTCACGGAGCTGGAAGGGACCTTGAGAGGTCATCAAATCCAGTCCCCTGCTCTCATGACAGGACCAAGTACCATCCTTGACAGACTTGCTACAGATTCCTAAATGGCCCCTTCAAGGATTGACCTCACAACCATTGAGATAGTAGGCCCGTGCTCAAACCACTGAGCTATCCCTCCCCTATATACACTAGCTCTATATGCAACCACACTTAAGCTGTGGCCCTCCGCATGCACTGTGAATTGAGATAGTAGGCCCGTGCTCAAACCACTGAGCTATCCCTCCCCTATATACACTAGCTCTATATGCAACCACACTTAAGCTGTGGCCCTCCGCATGCACTGTGAGTATCATTGTAGTCCCCAGTGCTTCCAAAGTTGAATAGCCCTGATCTAGAAGATAGAACATGAATGTCTTAATTTTTAATACTGAAATTAAGCCCTCTGAACAGCACAGATTCCCACATAGTATGAAAGCAAAAGATGTTTGGTCCTGTTTTAAGTATAAACAGCTAGATATCTAGTCTCCTCTATCTAATTAGTTTCCATCCAAGTCCCTCTCACATTCCCATGAATCTACATGTCAGTGGGAAAGTGCTGTGCTGAGAGTCAACACAGTACATGGACCAAGCTAATTTTTTAAAGGCATGTGGTTATGGGAGAGAGAAAAGTAGAGGCAAAAGATAGTGCTGGATAGGAAAAGATTTAGAGTTCCAGTAAGACAGAAAGCCAGAGATAAATATTCTCCAATTCTAAAAGCTCTTCACAAGAAAAGCACCAAAGACAGCCCATATTCCCTGTGATGGGAATACACAGAAGTGTTTGAATGCTGGACTTTAAAAATCTTGTCTCCTTACTACAGAAATATATAAACTGAGAACAATGCAAACTAAATATGTCACTTTCATTCTCATTCACCGTGTCTCTCTAGATAAGCGGGTCTCAACTGATTTAACACTGTGGGCTATGTATGTAGAGCTCTGTGACACCTAGGATGCATTCACATTATATATATATATATATATATATAAAATTACTTATATTTAGCCCTGAGCAAGTCACATGAGCTGCAGCTGTGTGCTGATCAGGCCGCACATGACATAAACCCTAACAATGGGATAGGAGGCCACTGTAATCTCCAGAGATAGTCACAGAATGAGTCTGATTCTAGAGCTACTGAACTTAGAAATTCACTTCAGTCTTGACTCCTCCCACAGTGGGTTTGATGGAGACATCAGAAAACTCAGTCAAACCTGTCCAAGGGGATGAGATTCGCTACCTCACACTAGAGGCTTCTACTAAGAAGCAAGGAGACAATGGGGTGCGTCTGCTGGGCTCTGCAATTAGTAGGGATGTCAACGGTTAGAGGACTACGCAATTAACCAATAAGCCTAGACAGCAGCCCCGCCCAGGGAGGTCCAAGCTCCCTGTGAACAGGGACTGCTCTTTGCGGAGAGATCACAACCCACAGACAGGGGCTGCTACCATCTCACGCTGGTGCCCCTGTATCACGGGCAGTAGTGCGCGGTGGAAGGCAGCCACTCCACGAGAGGAGCTGGCTTTTAAACCTGCCTGTCACCATGCTGATAGAAAGGCAGCAGTGCAGGATGGCAGGGGGCTCCCCAGGAGTGGGGCCAGGAGTGCACTGGCTGTCGCTCCGCCACCATGGATCATAGAATAGTTTTGTAACGTCTAAGATGTGACTACATGACGATTCAATTACACGCTATTTAACATCCCTAGCCATGGCTTGCCAGCTCCTGCCTCCTGCTCATGCCCCACCCACCTGTGCTAGATTTACACCCCCGGCCAGCACTCAGTGCCCGGGCAGTGATGACTGGAGCAACCCAGCA